AATATTGAGTATTTAATTTTAGATTTGATAAGAAAAGAAAACTACATGTATATATTTTTTCTTATGAGGCTGTTGTTTTATATACTTTAGAAATAAAAATCTTCTCCTAACTTACTTATTTCACAACTTTATTTTTAAAAATATTCTATATTACATTTGTGTAAATATACAGTCCCTAAAACTAAAAATTAAATATAATACATGTAATCTCGAGTTATTAAAAGATTATAAGAAATCCTTGCTCCAAGTAAACAAAACAACAGGGAGCCTGCAAATTCAGAATACACAAGGGGGCGGAGCTATCATGTCACTCAGAACCTTTGTCAAACATGAGTGAACAAAGCAGTCCCAGAAAGCAGTCCCAGGGGCAGCTGGGACTACTGGGACTGCCTTTCATAGCAGTCCCATAGCGGTACAGAGTATTCCCACAGCGGTCGCAGAGCAGTCCCACAGCGGCCCCAGAGCAGTCCCAAAGCAGTCCCAGGGACTGTTTTCTGGGACTGCTTTGGTGTCAGGTTGGGCCTGGTCGGTACTGTACTTGTAATTCACCTACTTATAATTTACAATAATTTTTAGCGTTTAGAGCTCATTTAATTTCATATCAACGGCATAAACTGTTATCAAAATCAAATTTATCATTTCTCAGAGATCGGTAAGGTAGATAAACATAAAATACGGGGAGGTAACGAACGAGACAGCGGAGCAAACACGGACTTCCAGAAAATCCGTGTTTGGATCAGCTACCATGGATGAGTGTACAACCACAGTGACTGCTGATCAAACTTCATATCAACCGGATGACTTTTATGGTCAGTTAACTTTTGGTTCAAACTTTATCAAATTGTTAACATCAAAATCCATTTGTAATTACTGGCCAGAAAAAATATCTTCTTAGAGATTGGTTAGGATTGATTCAATATATGAGAATGGTTGTATATTTGCAGTATGTAGAAATATTCTGAAAACAAAAGACGTAATATTTTTATATATCTTAATTTGTTTTGTTTGTTACGGGTTTTCTTCTTGGCTTTTTATATTAGGTAAGTATAATATATACAGACACATACACGTATTTTGTCTAAATTGATAATCTATTGATAAACATAACCAAAATTAAAAGGTTATCAATGTTTCTTTCCGAAAAAGTTAAAGAACGTTTTTAATCTTATATGTAATATATATTAAACAATATACAAAGTTTACTTAATGTGATTAAGCGTTTTTTAAGTCTAGAAATATATACTTGGAATGAAATTACGGGGAATGATTGGCTCAAACCTTTAAGTGGTTTGTACCCTTTTAAACAAAATTTCCCTTTCATGTTCTGTCAGTGATAAGACTTTTGATTTATCATGATTCGTACAGTTCATTGTCATTCTAACGAAAGTGAAATAATAAGTAAATGATAAAGTAATAATTAAGACACTTATTCTAAAAACTTGTATGTATTTTGTTTCTTTTATTAAGCAAAACTTTTCTATTTTATAAAATGATAAAAGGCATGAGCCATTTTGTTAAAGCATTGATTTCCCTTTCTCAAAAATGCTTTGATGCAATCATGTAAAAAAAATTATTTAACCCTATGGTTGCATAAAAAAGGCGAAAATATGAATAAGACTCAGGAATCACATTTTTAAAGTAAGACTGTGAAATTTTATATGGACGGATATGCATAAATAACTCTTTGGCCGCGTTCTTTTAAAAACCTTTAAAAAATAATGAAAAATAACCAAATCCATTGTTGCCAAATAAGGTATAAGTGCTAATTTCCAAAAAAGAAAAATTAATAAACTTAATAAAAAAACAGTAAAATAACTAAGTTTGACAAATTCATCTAATTCTACTCAAACAATTTGTTTTTATCAACATTGAATCAGATCAGTTCATGGTAACCTGACATTCAGATTACAAGTACAAGTGGGCATTTCTTTGAATCTTCCTTGTTCCTTGTTTCAAAGAAAAAATCACATCAACGAATGTAAATAATTTATTATCAGTTTTCTGTCTTTACTGGACTTCGATTGAGTGTTTTAAAAAAGCACCATAGTATAAATAAGGGTAGAAATTTAAGAAATTTAGTGAGTTAACAAAATGCAACGCAAGGCTTTACTTCTCTTCTTCTTCGGTTTGCAATTACTGTATGTAACAAAGGCTGACCGCTTTAGGGGAGGCACAATAAGTTGGAAATCAACAGGAAATGGATATGAGGCGTGTCTTGCTATATATATCATTGACCTTAACGTCTTGTACTTTTGTGTCTTTTGTGCATGTTTTTTTTTTTCTTTTTTATGAAAAAAATCAAGGATTTATAAATTTATATATTTCGGTACATTTTCAACATGTGAACTTTTACTTCTGAATTCTATATAAGAAAAACGTAATTTTTAAAGAATCAAATTTTCACACAATAAATAATACTAAAGGTTTGAATTTTTATTTTTTTATTTTTATTTTTTTTTTTATTTTTCATTACTATTTTTTTTTTGGTTACAGGTTCAGTTTTCCTTTCGACTTGGTTGGAGATATGGAGCGGGGCCAGGATGCAATACTTCTCGTATAGGACAACTTGTAACTGGAATGAGTACAACGTATTGGCGATGTACGTCTGGATGTACTCCAGCTGTGAACCTCCACAATGTCAATAATATATGCACTGGTGCTAGTGTGTCTGGAAACTGGGAACAAGGGGAGAGAACCTTTACATATACATTTCCAGGACCAGGTCCATTCAAAGTTGAGTAAGTCTTTATTTACCTATTCATCATTTAAATTAATATATCTTACAAAATGATAAGACGAAGATATATTGAACAAATAATTATGATGGTTTTAATTGATTTTGATTAATTTCATATTCTTTAGGTTCACTGGTGGTGCATGGGTGACATTAAGTAATCGAGCCGGGGGAAGTTGGTCTATTGGAACAATAGTTAATTTAAAACAAAGAAGTGATACTCATAAGCCAAATACTAGCCCAATTACAACAGGAAAACCTATGTATATGTATGTACACACTAACAAAATCAAAACTAGAAAATATATGGACATAATGTCTTTAATAATAGTTTTCTTTGGATAGTTGTAATTTTCAAACTTTTTTTGATCATTGCTAATTTTATATTTAAATGAATTGCGTTATTTGCGTCACCAGAGTACAATATAACTGTCAAAGTGACATTCGAATCCCTGTTGCTGATGCCGATGGCGATGACATTCGATGTCGCTGGTCAACTGGAACAGAATGTGCCTCAATATGTAATGCACTGCCTGCTGCTACTATCGATAGTGTAAGATATAACATTTGATAGTTTGCATGTGTCATTTACCTTCCTATGAATGCAATAATTTTAGGTATACTACTTTTACAACAGAGAACCTGCACTATTAAGTTTCCATCTAATCACACACAAAATGGGATCTTTGCTGTAGCTGTTACAATGGAAGATTTCCCTAAATCGACGATATCTATTGGTAGTACTGCTTACGGAACGAATACCCGAATATCTTCCGTTACATTACAGGTAAGCAGTATCAAATTTTAACTCATAAAATGATTTTTTTTTCCCTCTGTGATTAACAAAAACGAAATTATTCGAGCAAACACTTGTCAATTAGACAGCAAAATTCAGTGTTAGCAAATGTAATTATTTTAGATCCGATATATTGTGCTTCTACAACAAAGCCTTTTTATGGATCCAATATCCATTCGTTCAAGATGTAAAGTTTTTTTATTTTCACGGCAAAGATTTTATGCATTTGTAGACATATTGATATTAAGATTTCATGCATTTTGGGGGGTATTTCTTGTAATTTTTGTATATAACAATGTATATATATTCTGAAAGCAAGCATTGTGTTGTTTCTGAAATTGGTTATAAAAATTTCATTTCAGTTGCCATGGCAACAAATTACACCATAACCATGCTGGAATTTCCATTTATTAAATAATGAGTTTTATTATAGTTTTTTTGCTAAGTTTAATATATCAAAAACATTTTATTGGTGTGTTGAAAATTATGAACATGTTGTACATTTTTATTTCAATTCAATTTTAAGAATGTTTGGGGGGGTTGGTTTGGGTTGGGGTGTAAACACCAGAATTCATCATTTTGATATATAACATGTTTCCCCCGCATTTATATCGATAATGGCAAAATCGCTCAAATAGAGCGCAAAGTTTCACTCAAGCTAGTAAAAAACTCGTACAGCCTATAAAAACATTTTCTGTATATTATTTAACCATATTTATTTTCTCTTTCCAATGGTACAAGATTTATTCTGATATTTCCAGCATTAACAAATTTATGAATGTTTTTCACATTTTACCTGTCTTTCAAGTCAGAAGCGTGGAAATGCATAATGCTATGTCATGTAAGGGGTTAAATACCGGAAAAAGAATTTCATGACATATTTGTATTTAAATAGCAGTGATTTCTTTCAGTTTCTAATTAAAACGCCTCCACTGTCCGGGAGATGCAACGACAAACCAGTGTTTGTCAGCCCCACCCCCGCTGCTGGAACAACCTTACAGACAAACATATTACAAACCTTCCACGTGTCCTTTTATGCTTCGGATAGTAGAAGGTGAATATTATTAAGAAATAAACAACAATGTCAAAAGGTTCTCTGGGAAATGAACATAGTTGATCACGTGATCAAATTCTGTGAAACCTAATGTTGGAATGTTTTAATCCATAACAGAATTACAAAGATGGACATCACTTCACCTGCCGGTATGACCTATACTTCACTACAGTCTGTCTCCTCCAGACCTGGAACATACTTTGTCAGCACTGTAGCAACCTCTAATGATAAAACGCCGCTTAATGATACAAATAGCATTAAGCGTTGCAATTGCAACGCTTAATGCCATAAATTATTGCATTAATAGCTGACATCATCAACCGCTAATGCTAAATCGCCGCTTAATGACAGAATTATATCATAAAGCGTCACTAATGCAGTGCAACACCGACGCTTAATGAAACAAGCAAATATCGACATATTCGACGCTTAATGATACACACTAGTGTATCATTAAGCGTTGCAGTTGCAACTCTTAATGATAGAAAATTTAGAAATCGCTTGTAATATCTAAGAGAAACACACATCAACATTTCCTGAACAATAAGATATCACTTGTCAAAATATTTATAAATGCCCTTGTGCTATATAAATGGTAATTATTGAAGTTTTACTGTATTTTCTATCTAGTCAAGGGAACGTCTTTAAGCTCCGGATGAGACAGTCAGATAGCTGGAAGAAAGAGATACAAACAAAGGGATAAATTATATATACACAAATCATTTTAAAAGGACCATTTTTTTTTACTGAAAATACGGAAGCAAACAAGCTATTAAATTCCTTTTAATTTGATAAATTATTTTAATAGTCAACCTAAAATATATCGAATATATTTGGATATTCCGAACTTTGTATTTTAAATTTGATACAGCTTAACACATGTCACTATTAACATTTCAGATATACGTATCGAGAAATAAATTTACAATTTTCACTATAATTGTATTTTTAATCTGCCTCGTTTCTCCAAATTTCGAAAAAGAGAGACATCAATATTGACAATTTATGTTTAAGTATATAAAACACAAAGAATACAAATGAATGCAATACATTAAATAATATATTATTTTGAGAAGGAGGTTCATTTATTCATTATTTGTTATCACTTTTACTTGAATACATTACTGTGGCATGATTATTTTAGAATCAATTTTGAAAAATAGTACAAGTATATAATTATCAAATTATAAAAAAAAACGTGTCGAATGAAGTTGATGAAGCTGATTTTTTTAAGATTCTTAATGACGCATACTTCATTTTGTAGTATATTTGCCTGTCCGTCTGTCTGTAAACAATTTTTCAAAATGCTACTCCTCCTGCAGTTTTGGTCTGATTTCAATATAACTTGGTACACAAGTAAACTTCACTAAGATACTTATTTTCTGTATGTATTTTTGATTTCTGTGAAAGGTGTTTGCCTTAGGTACTAAAAATTGAAATAAAATGCTACTTATCCAACATTTTTTGTCTGATTTCAAAATAACTTAGCTCACATGTAGACTACACTTAAATATATCGGATTTTAATTTCGATGAACGGTGTTGCCGTGGTTACTAAAATAGAAATGTCCGTGAAATACCTTCAAAATGCTAATCCTCCTACAGTTTTAGTCAGATTGCAATAAAATTTGGCATGCAAGTAGACTATATTGGCATACACTATTATCAGTTTCGTGTTTTTTTGATTTTGTTAATTGATGTTGCCATGGTAACTAAAATTGAAAATTCTGAAAAATTTTATTGAAAGCTATTACTGCAGTTGTAGTTTTATTGCAATCTTGCCACAAAAATAGACTTAATTAAGGACCGTCATTTTATTTTTTGCTTTTGTTAAGTTTTAAGCCCTAACTGCTACTTTTTTCTTCCTTTATTAGAAGGAAGTACAAACGAGTAGAGCTACAGTCTCGACATAGATTTTTTTTTCTTTCGATATATTTAAAGACTAAGCTTACATCTGTCTAATATTAAAATGAAATAGATTTAAATGAATAGTTCTTTTTTCGGTACAAAAGAAACCCTCTCTATTAATGCATGTACTAGTATTCATTTCTTGTACATTATTCTTTTAGAGAAGTGGTCCTGTTCCTAAAATAAATTTTGGAACCTTTTTCTGAATCTTAACCTTGAAATATATTGAAATATTAAGAATAGGAATCAACACATAATTACATCAAAGTTTCAAAGTCTCAACTATTGTTAATTAAGTTCCAAAGTTTTCACTGTAGTAAATCAAAGCTCCTACGTTTTCACTATTAATAGTAAATATAAGTTTCTAAATGTTTATTTTGGTACTATTGTTAACTAAAGTAAACACTAAAAATTTTTTTTACGGATATGTTCTTTTTTACGTGAAAAAAAACCCTATAAATTTCAGTCTGTCGTCCAATGTAACATCACCGACTTTCTCATCAAAATAAAAAAAAAACCGATCAAACTACGCTGTAGTTTAATGGAAGTTTTCAATTTAAGGAGAAGTAATGAGACAAAGTATGTTAGTAAGCGTCGGGATGGGATGGGGTGGGGGTTATTTACATTTATAAATATTTTATGTTGGTAAAGGTAGGATTCCTCTCACATTTTTTGTATTTTAAAATTAATGAAATTTTCACAGAATCAAGAAGACAATATCAGTTAGTGAAAGTATTAGTGAGATTTACTTTGACCGTTTAATATTAGAGGCAAAGTCAGGTCAAGGTCATTACCTTTTTCCTGGACATTAAGGTCAAACGACACGTTCCTTAATAATATGTTTTGTATCTCTTGGAAAAAAATAAAAATACTCATATTTGGCATTCTCCTCTGATTTCTATATTGTAATCAAAAATGTTTTTAAATATAGGTACACCAAAAAATGGTGAGATAGGCCGTTCAGAAGATTACCCATAAGAGTCATATAAGAAATATGAACCTTTGGTATCTTGTCCAAATGGCTGGTAAGGTACCCTTATTTTTGCGAGGAATCTTGTTTAAGTACCTATACTTCAATGACAATCTCTTAGAAAAATTATATATTTTTGAGGAACGTGTCGTCTGATCTTAACATTAAAACCAGAAGTCTCTGTCGAGACTGTAGCTCTACTGGTTTGTACTTATAACAAAGGATGAGAAAAGAAGCCATTGCCATCAGACCAAAACTGTAAAAGGAGTAGCTTTTAAAGGAATTTCACAGACATTTCTATTTTTACTAATAATGGCAACCTTGTTTAATCAAAATCAAAAACCGATGCACTATTTCATGTATCTTAGTGTAGTCTACTTGTGTGCCAAGTTATAATGAATTCAGATCAAAACTGTAGGAGGAGTAGCATTTTAAAGAAATGTCACAGAAAATTCTACTTTTAGTAACCATGGCAACACTGTTCATCGAAATCAAAAACCGATAACATATCCTATGTATCTTAATGTAGTCTATTTGTGTGCCAAGTTATATTGAAATCAGATCAAAACTGTATAAGGAGTAGCGTTTTAAAGGAATTTCACATAAAAATCTTTTTTTAGTAACCATGGCAACACCGTTCATCAAAACCAAAAACCGATGCATTATTTTATTTATCTTAGTGTAGTCTACCTGTGTGCCAGGTAATATTGAAATCAGATCAAAACTGTAGGAGGAGTAGCATTTTAAAGGAATTTCACAAAAAAACTATTTTTAGTCACCATGGCAACATGGAAAATGAAAAACCGATGCATTAATTTATGTATCTTAGTGTAGTCTACTTGTGTGCCAAGTTATAATGAATTCAGATCAAAACTGTAGGAGGAGTAGCATTTTAAAGAAATGTCACAGAAAATTCTACTTTTAGTAACCATGGCAACACCGTGCATCGAAATCAAAAACCCATGCACTATTTTATGTATCTTAGTGTAGTCTACTTGTGTGCCAAGTTATATTAAAAATCAGACCACAACTGTAAAATGGAGTAACGTTTTTAAAAATTGTGTACAGACAGACGGACAGCTTGACTATCGCATATTAAGCTCTTCTGGTCTCTGACCAGTAGAACTAAAAAAAATTACTGTTTCCAATAATGCGATCTCTACTTGTAGTTCAAAAGACTAGTTTTTTTTTTTATTTCTGCATAAAAAGATACTAACATATAGGGCCTGTAAGATAATATTACCAAATTGACAAGGATAATTTAAATAAAATGGATATTTGCTAATCCGAATTTCCTCTATTTTTCTTATTTTTTTTAAGGATTTAGTAGCTATTTTTATATGCTTCCTACATTTTAATTTTTCCAATTTTCACATATAGTAACGTTGTCAAATAAAGGTACAAAATAATACAAAAAATAATAGTTTTTATCGTTTACTAAGAGAGAAATAATTAACACTCTTTACGGATATTTGGAAATCCGAGTTTCCTCTATTTTTCTTAATTTCTTTTAGGATTTATTAGTTATTTTTATATGCTTCCTACATTTTAATTTTTCCAATTTTCACATATAGTAATGTTGTCACATAAAGGTACAAAATGATTCAAAAACTAATAGTTTTGATTGTTTACTAAGAGAGAAATAACACTTTTTACGGATTTTGGGCTCAAATCTGTACTTAGATTTGAAGCATTTAGTTCTAGTATGTGTAGAAAAATCTTATTTATTTGATATATTTTGAAACTTTAGTCCCTTATTATTGATTTAACTTACATTTGAAAATTTCGTCTAGTCTTAAAGTTTGATTGCGTAAAAAATATAACTAAATTCAATGTTCTATAATAATTTTGAGGGGAAGAAAAAGAAGATATTTTCATAGGCCACCATTCCGCCAAAAATATAGTCCCTGCTAGTTTTCAAACGCAGTTTACTATTTCTATTTCAAGTTGTATAATTGTGATGAGGAGAGAAAAATGTGGTCTTTTAAATCCTTACATGAAGGATATGGAGATAACGAACAGTATTCAATCTCAAAGTCTAAATACATAAGACATATCAACAAATATACTTTGAATATTCCATCTAGTCAGAAACCAGAGAAGAATCCTACTTAAGTTAAATATTTCTTTAATGTTTTTGGGAAGATTAGGAATTTTTTATTCTCCATTTTTTGAGGCCCTCCCCTTTACTTGGAAATTTTTGCCACAGACTTTCTTTATATGCAACCTACGTTTCTTTTTATCATCTAAATTACATGTGCTACCCAGGGTCTTAAAGGCAGAGATTTTAAGCACCGCCTTAAGAAATACCTGGTCTGGGTTAGCCCTGTCAATCAAGTGCGTGAAGGTCCATCATTGGATGCTGAAACTTGATTGACATTTACTTACTGGTCTCTGTGTATACCCTGTACACCTTGTTTGGAACTCGTGGTGACCTTCTAATTAACTTTTGATCCTGTGATGTTTAATGAACATGGTATACAAAAACTGTTTTACTATGAATATTTTTATGTTGATAATATATGAATGAAATATACCTTCAGTATTTAATAGGATTATAATATGATATGCATTTTTTTCAAAAATTAATCTTTGGTACATAATAATTTTTTTTCAAATAAAGTTTTTATATTAATGTAAATATGCTGTATGGTAAATCTAAGTGGAAATGTTATTGATAAAGTTCAGAGCAGCACTGTGTGAAGTAATTTTAAAAAAAATGATTCTAATCATGGGTCACTTATAGATATTTTTCTTTTTTAATCAAATAGAATTTACAAGCAATCTTTTAGCATGCTCATGGTCACAAAGCTTTATTAAGGTTAGGATAAATCTAGAAATCTTTTTTCAGTGAAATGTGGTTAACACGACTCTCTTTTCATTTACTTAAAAGATGGGATGCATGAGTCTAATTTGTTTGTTACAAGAGTTGTTTTTTTAATTAACATATACACTAACATCTAAAACAATCTGTTTTAATATTTGAATTTATTACTATGCTATCATAATTTTTTAAATGGGTAGGGGTGATTTCAAACAGTCAAAAATAAATCAATATTTAATTGAAAAACCCTTCTACTACTAATTTTAAAATTGTCTCGAAATCCCCAACACAGGTAAGGTTTGACACCTGGGGTATTTCACTGTGTATTAAATCACTTCCTGTGTATAGGGATTATGAGACAGATGACCACAGATAGACTGCTAGCCCCCAAGGCATTTACACCTGTACAAAATAAGCCCCTCCCTCACCTGGAATTTACCACCCGGTAAAAAATCTCTGCCTTTAAAGTAACTATTTCCAATCAAAGTATTTTTTATAACGATAAAAAAAAAATGAAAATTAAATAAATGTCATTGCAATTAAAACTCTAACTCGTGCTAATTTTTGCCAACTAGACAGCACACAGAAAGACTTCTGTGTTTCTTTCTTTCCTTGCATTTGTGCTACTTTATATTAATAGAATCAGATGAGCTAGTGGCCAAGTGAAATCGATTTCAAATTTAATTATGTAGCACCAAGAATGCCATGCCTTAAATACCAAAAGTCCAAGTATATCAAAGCATTGTACTTTATGTTTGGAATAATTAGAAACAATAATTTCTTATATTTTTCAAAAGTGGTTAATTCTATTCGTAACTAGAAAGATTTCAGTCTGTCTCCACTGCAATTGTCAGTAAATAATGATCTATTTCGGTATACATGTACTATTAATACTCACCTGTTAGTCGGTTCTGCTTATAAGTCTGAAATTTAAACAGTTTTAAAAAAAAATACTACAGAAAACTATATAGTTTTCTATAGTTTAATAAAATTAATTAGAGAAGCAAAGTAAAAACTTTGGAACTTTGATTTGCTATAGTGAAAACTTTGGAACATCGCAAACCACGGTCAAAATGTACGATCCTCTCCCATTCTGACCGTAGTTGCATGAGACGATAATATTTTCATTAAAGTATTAACCAATGCAAGTAAAGCATAGTCGGACCTTTCATGCGACCTTTCAATACCCATTCGCAGTGAACAAAATACTTCTGATGAATACTAGTATTAATGAAGAGGGTCTTGTACCGAATAAAGAACTACTAATTTAAATCTATTTCATTTTAATATTAGTCAGATTTAAACTTAGTCTTAGAAGAAAAAAAATATACTACAAATGAAATATGCGACATTTAGAATTAAAAAAAAGCCTCCTCAACCTCAGTCAATATGAATATCGCAATTTGATATATATTAGAATTCAAATTTGATTCTAAAATAATCATGCAACAGTGATGTATTCAAGTAACACTGCTCACAAAAAAGCATAAATGAACCTTTTTCTCAACACAATATATATTATTCTATGTATTACTTGTATTCTTTGTTATATATCCTTAAACATAAGTTGTCAATATTGATGTCCCTCTTTTTCGGAATTTAGAGAAACGAAGCAGATTAAAAATACAGTAGTTTAAATCTCGATACGTATATCTGAAACGTTAACAGTGATATGTGTTAAGCTGTATCAAATCTAAAATACAAGGTTTCGATAAAAATATTCAAATAAAATATATATATATTTCAGGTTAACTATTAAAATCATTGTATCAATTTAAAAGGAATTTAATTGCTTGTTTGCTTCTGTATTTTCACTAAAAAAAGTGGTTCTTTTATAGGATTTGAATATCATTTAATTTATCCCTTTGTTTGTATCTCTTTCTTCCAGCTATCTGGCTGTCTGTCTCTTAAACATCCGGGGCTTAAAGACGTTCCCTTGACTAGATAGATTGATTGATTGATTGATTGTATACTGTTTAACATCCCTCTCCAGAATATTTCACTGATATGGACACGTCACCATTGCCGGTGAAGGGCTGCAAATTTAGGCCTATGCTCGGCACTCAGGGCCTTTGAGCAGGGAGGGATCTTTATCGTGCCACACCTGCTGTGACACGGGGCCTCGGTTAATACGGTCTCATTAGAAGGACCGCCCCATTTAGTCGCTTTTTACGACAAGCAAGGAGGTACTGAGGACCTATTCTAATTCGGATCCCCACGGGATGACTAGATAGAAAAACACAGTAAAACTTCAATAATTACCATTTATATAGCACAAGGGCATATATAAATAGTTTGACAAGTGATATCTCATTGTTCAGGAAAGGTGGATGTGTGTTTCTCTTAGATATTACAAGCGATTTCTAAATTTTCTATCATTAAGGGTTGCAACTGCAACGCTTAATGATACACTCGTGTGTTTCATTAAGCGTCGAATATGTCGATATTTGCTTGTTTCATTAAGCGTCGGTGTTGCACTGCATTTGTGACGCTTAATGATATAATTCTGTCATTAAGCGGCGATTTAGCATTAGCGGTTGACAATGTCATCTATTAATGCAATAATTTATGGCATTAAGCGTTGCAATTGCAACGCTTAATGCTGTTTGTATCATTAAGCGGCGTTTTATCATTAGAGGTTGCTACACAGCACTTCCTGGATACCTCAGCAGAACCAAGTAGGATCTCATATTGTTTGTGCTCTAGCCGAAGACACGTTTGGGTATAAAGCTTCAATTAGTAGTTTACATCTGTCTCTAATATATGATTAAATATTTAAAACAAAAATGAATAATTTAAAAAAACTGGGTATTTTCTGGGCATTTAAGTATAAGATTCATCTTTCAATTATTTTTGTTTAAATTATCTCTTTCTTTAAATTGGCTAAATATGTTTTCTTCATAAATAAAGACATTTAAATCAGATAAGAAAATCAATAAAAGGTTTTTTGAAATTTGGCAGGAAAACCAGCGAATCAAGGTGCCTGAATATCAAGGTACATGGTAAGTATATTTAGAACAATCTTTTTCGTCAAACATTTCAAAAGAAATTCTAAAGTTCTTGATAATGTATTATATGTATGATTGCACGTGTATCAATCTTAGACGTGAGTCCGTGTGTGAGTTCTCCTTGTACAAATGGCGGCACGTGTATACGACAGAGAATCACTCAGAATTACAGGTGTTACTGTTTACCTGGCTACACGGGACACAGGTGTCAAACAGGTATTTATTTAAAAGAAAATACACAATTGTCAACTTATTATCTTAATTACGATTCTAAAATGACAAAAGAAACATAATCATCATCCGAGATGCTAAAATTGGGGAGAGTTTTGTCCTTGATCGAATGATATAGATTTATAAACCATAGCATCATAAATATTTCTGTTATTAAAAGTAAAAAGAAAACTAAGGATTCTATTTGGATAAAGTGAAAATTTTTGAAAAGGGATATTTATGTGGAGTTTATTATTGTTACCCCAAAAGAAAATTTGAAAAAAAAACATGGAGCATTGAAAAAATAATAAAATCAGTTCAGAAAGTGTATTGAATAATTTTAGGAATGTGCTTATTTAACAACGTTTTGAATTGTATTTTGTACTTGGTACCTTGACTCCCCTTGATAGTTTCTAGAATATTTGTAGACATTTCTTTGATATTTGTTTTTATAAATTCGTTCCATACTCTCATCATGATCAAGTTAACTTTTCAGTTTTTTTTTTACAAATACATCTGTTCTTTACAGCTAGCAACTACATATTTCGAAATGTTTCTATTACAGTTAACTTTTATTCGGCCTTATTTAACTTGCAAAAATATAAATCGTGGCGAAACAATCATCTGTGAATTCTTTTAAGGTTGCTAAATAAATGGCTGCGGTTTGATTTAGAATTGTTCATTTGCAAATAAAGAATAGTGAAAAAAATTGATTTTTTTTTACAGTTTATTTAAGAAATAAACAACGTTATTTAGTGAACATGGCGTTATGAATAGCAATTGCTCTGCTGGCATATTCCATGATGCGCGCTAGCGCATCATGGAAAATATGCCAGCAGAGCTATTGCTATTCATTACGCCATGTCCACTAAATAATCGTTGTTTATTACTTATATTTGCATTCTTTGATGTTTTCAAAAATATCAGAGGAAATCTTGAGTTATATAAGGACGCAGCTTCTTCTGTCTTCAGTAAAGAAAACCTTTAATACAGCTTTAATTTCAGTACACCTGATCAATACTCCTTTTCTCTAATAAATCACAAACAATTTATAAACTATTTCCCTCTCAAACACAGTTATCTGGATACAAGCAGTGCCGTCATAACATTCTCTTAATTTTTGTTTTGATGCAGTCGTGACGTCATCGATCAACGTTATTGAAATCATCTGACAAAAATAAGTAATTTAACACTATGATAAAAATGAGTATGCGTGTATTATGATTATTACTCCAGTATGCTTTTTTGTGATTTTTTTTTTTTTTTTTTGTATTTTTCTTATTTTTTTTTTCTTGAAAAAGATATAGGCCCCTAGATCTAGATCTTTTTCTGAATGTTATTACCCAAGTGTGAAGAGTTATCGTTCTTTGTACAAGTATTCATGGTACGTAAAAATAAAAATATGGAGTTCTATTTAATTTTTAAATGGTTTTATATTACAATTAAATACATTTACCAAAATTAAATTTTTAAAAATATCAAACAGCAATTTTAAATTGTTCTGAATTCCTTTTTTTCCAAAAAATATTATTAAAAACTTATTTTTAGTGCTTTTACGAAACACTTCATATATATACTTCTCAACGCGTCTTACAATTGTAGTTGAACTTGTTCTACACGAATGAGCTAGAGCAATTGCACTCATAGCTGAAGCAGGTGCGTCTATAGTTGTATGAACGCAGTTGCTCGCTGCATGTTCATAGTGGGAGAGAGCAGTGGATATGCAAATATATACTTTAATACAATCATTCTTGTCGCTTGAATGTATATATTTAGATATGAATGTGCAAGTGGGCCTTGTCAGAATAGTGGGACTTGTCATGACCACGTTAATGATTTCACCTGTACTTGTAGGGGTGGCTTCACTGGACTGATGTGTCAGACAGGTACATGTCTCTTTGAATCATTACTATTTTATTTTAATGTATTTTGATATCTTAAGAGCGAGTCTACGAGAAAATCATGCAAAATTAAAAATTGGTTACACAAGTCACATTTTAAAAAGATGATTTTAAATACATAATTTTGAAGAGAGTGGACATATATAACTATTGTGAAAATTTTTTTAACAAAGGTGTCCTCCTAATCGAGATAGCCCCGAATCTATTTATAGCCCACTGGTAGGCTGGATTTTCAAGAAAAAAATAGCACTTTTATAAGCCCTTCAAAAAAATAAAATGAATCAATGATTTCGAAAAAATTTGTGTTTTATGTTGAATTAATAAGTATAACTTTTTGTTTATAGTTGAATTTTGTTTACCAGATCTTATTAATTTGGGAAATTCAAAAGGTTTTATAAGAGAAAATTCACTTGACTTTTTATATCTCTATGAGAAACGCAGTGCTGTGTTTGATAGAACGGGTGAACTTTTGTTTATAATTATCTATCTGATTTAATTAGTTATTTTACACAACATATTTCAAGGAATTTCTTGGATTTACAATGAATCTCGAGATATACACTTTTGAATCTCTTTATTTTTTACCGAATTATCGATCTTTTCGAACTCTTCAGTGCATGAAGAGTAAAAAAGTCATTATTTACATGGAGGAAAAATGGCAGCGATGTCGTCGGGTATGTGTGATTTTGGTGAAGATTGTGAAGAAACGGCGATATATTATTTGAACGGCAGTGTTAAACAAACCTTTCACCACCTCAAATATTTGGACTCTTAACTCTAAGGGTATAGATCTGCCCGAAAGTTATTTAATTCTATCCAGAGCGGGTATCGATGTAATCACATTAGCACAGCTAAACAAGAATCAGATGCGCGCTTGGTCTGTACTGGAAACGGAGCGAGAGATGTTGTGTACATCCCTTTCATGGTTTATCTAAAACGAAACAAGACTAAGGCATCACACCAGTTTTGAGCCGGGATTTTTGGTTGCGTCTACAGCTATCAGTCCCAATAGATGAAGGTAATAAGAAATTTGTCAAACTGACCAAGTTATGAAATAATATCCTTGAATTATTATACTTAAACTTGATTTTTTTCCTAAACAAGTCTTGAATATATATGATTCCTAAACTTGCTACTTATGTAGTTAAAAGTTTATGGCAACAAAATGACATAACAATAGGTTTAGCTGCAGCAGATCTATAGCTCTCTGAAAAAATACATATTATGACAATCCCAGAGAGCTATTGTGCTAGCTAGAATAATCTAACTCTGTCTTGGAACAAGCCCTCACCACAGTTCGAATTCGTCCCATATACTTGCAATGTAGCAAATCGGAGCGGATCCACTCCGAAATGATTTTGAAGAATATAAAAGGATTTGCACAGGAAATAACTACTAAATTAATCAAAACAAACCTTTTTGAGATTGCATATAATTATGCCTTTTATCCCAAAAAAATAATCCATATAAAGGCAAAAATCCAATAAATTTTGTGAACATTTTTCTGCCATGTTTACAATCGGAACTCTCTAGATTGTTCATAGTAAACAGTGGTAAATGCACTGATTACGAGTTATCACCCGTGTTTGCTACATTACGAATACACGGAACAAATTCTATTGTTAAACCGGGTCCGTAGGACATTTATCATGTTAACGATAGAAGATTCTATCTACTATTGTGCCACCCATTGAAAAAAATGGATATTCATTGCATACAAAATGTTGCACATAGTTCTGGATTAATTCTTCCAAATTCTTACCTCAGTCAGACAGTAGGGAGAGCTAAATTGTTCAAATCATGACCCCAGGGGGTTAGGCGGAGCCACAATGGGGAATCAAAGTTTTACATAGAAATACTGTATACAGGGAAATTTTCGCCCCCGTTTTATTTTCGCCCCTTTCGCCTTACCCTCATTTCGGCGAATTTAAAACGGGGCGAAATCAAAAAATACAATATCATTTCTTAAAGAAAACTATGATTGGGCGAATTTAAAAAGGGGCAAAATTGATTTCAAGTGTGAAAGGGCGAAAATAAGACGGGGCGAAAATAACCCTGTATACAGTATAAAGGAAAAAGCTTTAAAATTCTTCTTCTCAAGAACCACTGGGCCAGAAAAGATGAAACTTGTTTGAAATCATCCTGGGTTAGTGTAATTAGTCTAATTAGTCTAATTATGATCAGTGGGTTAGGGGGGTACCATTATGTATTACAAGGGGGAAATCTGGCAAAGAACAGAATGGTCAAAGCCATTCAGGTAACGATGTGGGCCGTGAGCCTCTTGTTTTTCTTTTGTTTTTTTTTTGTTCGCTGGAGTTGGTAAATTGACCAAATTATGCACGCCAAACAAGACACTTGATATTGGATTTGTCCCTTATTATATACAGGTCCATATTTGCCCTGCACCAGATTTGTATTTTTTGAACTTGAATACTGTTTGTTATTTCCATATATTTTCTTTTTACTTAGACATAGTTGAGCAGCTGACCTATTCAACCATTGCCTCAATACCTCCACTTAATCTTAGAGATTGCACTGAAGTCAACGGTATGATGTTTATGAATGGTTTCATTAAACTTTCAAACTATGGAAAATCATTAATAAGAAAAAAATCTTGTATCTTTAAGTCGCCGGAGTTTTTCAGGTGACATTTTTCTATTAAAATTTGTCTGTCATGTGTAGATTTTAAATTTTGCAATTCATGACCCCTGAGGGGGGTAGGGTGGGGGTGCACAATATAAATTTGCGAGGGGGGAGATATGGTTAAGAACAGCATCATAGCTAAAGTTCATGGCCAAAGGGTGAGCAATGTGGCCCATAGGCCTTTCTTTTTGTGATTACTAATAATTTTATATAAAGTTGAAATACATCATGAGAAGAATTTTCTACATTTTTAGATGTTAACAACAATGCTAATCCTGCTGAAGAAACTTCAGGCAGCAGAAGTTTGACAGTGTCCAAGCAATAGCCAATGAACTTACAGAATAAATGGCTGTGACTGAAACTCATTAAGTTCAATGTTTTTGTACCGTAGTTTTACTTATATTGTTTATATAAATAATACACGTACTCAGATGTGTATCCCTCATATAATTACATTTAATCCATTGACATTTATTAAAGTGGGAATTGATCAACTTCGAGGGTTTCAACAAACTATATCATTTTGTTGAGATGTTATTTCATTGATATACTGTAGTGTATTTTTCAATAGAACATTATAGAATGAAAGTACATCTTTTTGGAATTTTTTTTTTATTTGTTCTCAAACATGGTAAATGTACTGGGGTAAAATAATTTTTCAGAATGTTAATGTAGAATTTTGAATGTTTTTTTTTTCTTTTTCTATAAAACTTCCAATACAGTTTTATAGATTTACAGTTATATTGCATATAATATTACCTGTACTTGAATTTATTCCATTGTGGTTAAGTAAATCCATTCACATTGAAATGGTATGAAAATTGCATCAATTCCTGTTTTAATTTTTTAGCAATTGTGGCCTTATGCTTAAAAGGATTATTAGAAGTTTAAAATTATTAAATGTGGTTTTATAAGTACATTTCAACCCGATGTCTTCCAAAGTTCCAAACATACATATCTGTGGAGCTCATTACTTTATCAATCATCATACTCTCCTTCAACTATACTTACTGAAGATATTTGATATTCAAAGTATATTTAAATACAGATGTGTACATTATATTGTAATGGAATACTTTATATGCACCTGGATCCATAGATAAGGGTCGTACCGGTATATTGTTTTGTCCTATTTGTCTGTTTATCTGTTTGTCTGATTATCTGTTTTTCTGTTGTCAACTTTAACCTTTGCCATAACTTTTAACCTTGTGACCTTGACTTTGACCTATATATTAAAAATAACTTTTCAGAACTTTGTTGCCAAAGGGCGTATCGTGTTTCACAAACACATCTTAGTTTTATTGAATCATCTTTAAAAATATTAGTGAAGTTAACTCCCTCCAAACCCTTTGAGGTTTAAAAATAATTGTAAGAATGGTATATTAGTGTAATCTTTTCAGAATGTTGTAATTGAGGAAAAAATTAATATTTATTGTAGTATGTGTAGATTATTATGTTCATTTTACAAAATATGTAATAAATATTTAGATTTGAAACATTAAAGAATTAGGTCTAATATGGGCTGGAATTGGCCTTGTTGATTTAAAAATTGGTAAAAGTTTGTTTTCATCATAACTTTGTTATATTTTATTATCCGACAAATTCCAATTTCTGGTAAAAACACTATTAAATGAACCTTCAAGGAACAAAAAAAAATTTTCTCTCTTTACTGTGTATCAGGTTTTATGGCTCTTAGAATTAAGGCAAGAAAAATCTATTTTTAGAACATCTTGAGATAATTGGAGTTGTCTCCCGCTGAAAGTTTAACAAATTTAAAAGTTTTATAATGGAAATGATTAACACTGTTCATATGTGTATAAAATACACCATATCTTTTCCCAGAAATTTGTTTGTAATAAAGTAAAGCTGTAAAGGTAACTGGTATTTTTCATGTGTTTTATAACATTATGGCCATTTGCCAATGACAAACATAGATAGTGCTCATGTACACTATGCTGATCAGCAGATTTTGACCAAATTTACAGAAAAGTCTTACAATACCTTGAAATGAATAAATATAATAATGGGAAGTGAAATTGAGAACCTAACATGAATAGCCCCCTGCATGGTTTTCTCATAGACTCCCTCTTAATAACGTAGTAAGCTCAAAATATTGCCATTATCTTAATTGAACACAGTACATTTCTAACATTATGTCATGTTTATTATCTATTCACTTTCCTTTCTTAATAACATTTATTATTTTTTATTTACTTTCAAGATATTGACGAATGCCTAAGCGATCCGTGTCAAAACAATGGTTCGTGTACCGATCTTATCAACAGATTTCAGTGTTCCTGTATACCAGGGTTTACCAACACAGTATGCCATACAGGTAGCTACTTCTCTTTAAGTAAAAGGA